GAGAACCCCCACGCAAAGCGGTGAGATTGACCATGACACGGGGAGGGGTCTGGCCTGGCTTTCCTGGAGGAAACGCAAAACCAAGCCTGTCACCAGAGGCTTCCACTGGCCACAGGGTCTGACTGAGCCTCTCAACGTCATGCTTCCCCCAGTTTAAGTAAATTAATGCGATGACACTGTAAGCCAGGGGTTCATATTAATAAGAGTTTTGAAAATGAAGGTGTTGCCTTATTATTGGGGGGGTGGAGTGCAGGACAGCCTCGAGCTGCAAATGAAAACATAACTTATCTTTCAGCTTTTTTACAAAAGAGATAAAGTGAGGAGACACACGTCTGAGGTATTGCCAAATACTCAAGAAACTTCCTCAGAACACCCACTCTTCCAGACATTTCAGACCTGATTTACCACAAGCAGACTGGTGGGTCCCAACCTAGAATGACATTACAAGGAATTTCTAATTATATGTTGTTTTCTCAGTTAGTAGATACACTAATGAGGAAGCACTCAAAAAGCTTCCTACTCCCAAAGTTGAGAGTTACACGGAGGTGGACTGAGGTTTTCCTACCTTCCTTGTCGTTTTATCAATTTCCAACTTAAATGTGGCTTGACATTTACTACTGGAGAACAAATCCTATCTTGAGCGTAATCACTATGTGATGTATCTTGGCAGTAGAAGCTTTTTCTTGGGAATAAATGTAAAGATACTGTTAATTCTGACAAGCAAAATTCATAAAGGGAGAAAACTACCTATCGGCGTAATGCCAGATGCAAAATGACCATAGCAGCCACTCTGATCTCGGAACGACAGTGGGGTGCGGAAGAAGAACCCGTTATCTGAAGTCAGAAGACCCAGGATCAAGTCCAGCAATTCTACCTATCAGCTCTATAACCTTTGACAAATCCTCAGTCACGTCCTCATTTGTAAACTGTATTAAATAACAACACAAGTGCTTTCAAGGTGGTGGGATTCAAATTAGACACTGGAAGTAGAAGCGTTTTATCAACTAGAAGGAGTTCAAGAAATGTTCCCTGTTGCCATGATTGTGACAACCTTGGTTTTTCAGTTTTTACTGCAGTTTTACTCATAAATAACTGTCCATTTAATTTTTGGTAAATTTTGCACTTCAGGGATGTTGCCACCAAAGACCAAGAAATGCTTTGATTCACTTGGCCTGAATTACAAGATGATTTGTCTGACCTTCATACTGCAACCACGAATTTCTCACTTCATTTTTCTCTCAGTTTTACAAGTTTACAATTTTGTTTCAGCTTCTGCTGAAGGAAATTCCGAGTTCAACCTCTTCTTGTTCCAAGTTCATTTCTTCTCACATCAGGCAAAAGCTTGAAGGGAATTACGTACAAAGTCTGAAAGTATCAAACTTCCTTTTGCAAAGGGATAACTTTCCTAGTTCAGCACAAAAAGCTCAAAATGCTTCATCTAATACAAGAAGTAAAGCAATGGGTGAAGCTGCCTTAGTTGGAAGGGTGAGCGGGCTGATGGGTTGGGATTTCAGCTGGGCCCTTAAGTGCCTTTCAGAACTCAGCCTGAGACAGGAAGTGATGGTGAGGCTACTGTGTGCACTCACCCCACTTCCTGTTTCAATTGCCATTCAGGGAGAACAGTGAGGGGAAAGTAGAGCATGGGGAAGTAGGTCATAGGGAGAGGGAAGAAGAGACCAGATGAGAGACTGTGGCAAAAGTCCCCATGCTGCCCCTTACCCCTGTTCCCTTATTCTTCTAGCGCTGGCGCTGGGGCTATGTAAACTGGTTTGTTTCTATTCTCCATCTTCCACTGTGAAAAACTGATGAATTGAACTACATCCTTAGTGAACACTAAATTACCCAATTCTTTGATGCCACTCATGCAATTGACAAGGCTAATGGAACAAAGTACAAACATATTATTAGCCTACTGATAGTTTAGAGTTCAGATACCAAGTGGATTTATCTAATACTTCTTCTGCTTTATTTCCACTCTAACAGGTAAGTGGAGAAAAAGGGTAGGAAAGGCTATATTACCCAGTATCTGGGCACCAGGTATTCTTTTATCACCTTGCGCCAGCTTTATTAATGTTAACTATTGTTATGTTATTCATCGACTAGTGGCACATGATGGAAAGGAGAAACAATTCAGCAATGAATTGTTTGCCCTCGTCCCTCTCCGCCTGCTCCCCAGGCTTCTGCCCAGGGCTGTCCTCTGCCCCCTTCACATGGTTTCTGGTACCTCATCAAACCTCCACTAAAGTGACTGTCCACAGAGCCATCCTCCAGGAATTCTCTTGAGCTCACGTCCCTCTTTCAAGTCCAACCTCTATATTAAAAAACATCTGACCACCTAAAACATCTTCACCTGGGTGTTCACAGAGCCATCTGTGGGGAGAAACCCTTTTAGAAAGGTACATGAAGAAGGAGGAGGGGCGTTGTGTAGGACCAGTCACAAAGGGAATTGACGATACGTATCATAGCGGGACTGGTCACTGTGTGGTTAACAGAATGCAAGGGTGTGAGGTATGTGCTTTCCGGGTCCCCTTGTGTTATTGATGCTGCAACAAGAAAAGCTTTTGAAAGCTAATGAAGCAGGTGACAATACAGGGTGAGGCATCAGGCGATCCCACAAGCCCACCCTGAGGGGAGGGCTGGGTGAAGTTTGCACCATGAATAAAGATGAAATCAAAAGGAGATGGTATTTTGTTGTGAAGAAAATGCATTTACTGCTGAACCCCCTGCTTAGGGACTTCCTGGGTGCTGCTTGATTGCTGACTCTCCTACTGACACCTAAGTCTCCATGCACTTAAACTAGATGCTCCACCAATTCTAATCAGTTGTCACTACTGGGAAACCCCGAGGCAGGTAAAGACAGGAGCTCATCTAGCATGAGCTGGACTCTGTACACTGACTCAGATGGAGACCAGCGGTAGTGGCCTTGACTGCTCCTGGCCCCTTCTGAAACCTACAACTTGAAAGTCATAGTCAAAGCCTATCTCGGTGATAATTTACTTTGCAAGCTATAAAGTCTTAGAAATCAACTCTCCCTCACCCCAGTTCTTTTCTAAGTTAGAAAAAGTTATCCTTTGTAGTATCAATGGTCATTTACAAAGTTAAAGAACAGATACAGAGGCCTTGACTTAAACTTGGTCAAGATGTGTTTTGAGATAAGCTATGCAAAATCAAATACAAAATACCCATGTGACAAAATAAAGTCCTTCTCTAGTATAGTACACACCCCAATTTGTATGACTTCTACTACCCTACAGAACTGTAGGCATCACTCAGATCTCTGGGCACACTGGACCGTCTATGATCAATCAGGCCTCCAGGCCACGTCTCCCGCTTTTCTACATTCTTGTCAGCCCCTTTCCCTTCCCGAGGAGCAGGTCTGACAAACTTTGCTACACTCCTCAACTCTCTCTTCCAACAGGGGATGCCCAAGTCACTACCCCAGGCAGAGGGCCTCCACTGGGTCAAGGGTGACAAGTTAATTTGCTTTCTGCTTTCTCTGTATCTACATAGGATCGAGAGCTGTACCAATCCAAGTCATGTTTCCTCTTACTGCAGAGCAGTGGTTTTCACACTGGTCCTGGGATTCTTGGTCCCTAGAGCCTCTGAGGGCCAGTTTAGAGTGAGAGGAGGTGAAGAAGTCAGGGCTGTTGGACCCTTCCCTTCCTCCAGTTCCACCACAGCAATTTTGCTTCTTTTCATATTAGATACTGGAGTTCCAGATGACATTTGAATTTCCTATGGAATCCGCTAAACTCCTCAAGTTCTGGGTGATGTGATAAGGGCTAACTGAGCAGAACGACTTCATCGTACATCTTTACTGTAATGAGGGGACCTGTCAGCCCCAAGGCATCCTCAGCTTCCACCAACAGGCTCTGAAGTGCTTATGTCCAGCTCGTTTGATTAGACCCTCAACAACATCTCCCTGAAGGAAGCATTCCCCATTCCCATTTAATAGATGGATAAGCTAACACGAAGAGGGGAAGCACTTTCTGAAGGTGGCATGGCTACTGAGTCGCACAGCCACGACACAGGCTCTAGTCCCCAGACGTGGAACTTCAGCTTTGCCCACGACACTCCATCGCAGAGTCTGTTAATCCCTTAGTTGAACACTCATTCTTTCTTTTGATCTCATCTCCCAAAAAGGCTACATCAATTCCCCAACTAAAAAAGGGTCTGAGAGAAAAAAATGGGAGTAAGAAAAACAAAGATCACAAAGATCTTTCCTGCCCTTTCCTACATCTTCTAGAAATCTCTGTGATACTTTGCGTTTTATGTTACTTGGCCTTCTGGTGGCCAATACCGAGAAACAAGCAAATTACCGAACATGACTGATGAGCACAATGAAACTATTAAAAGTCAGTGGCTGGCATCATTCAAATGTACATTTCCTTGTTATTACCAAGAATATTGCTAGGTTTCTGGGTAACTTCCCTATGCTCTTAAGTACACTTCAGGAAACATGTGATTGCAATGTAAACAAATTTGCAACCTTTCAGCTAGCTCTAAAAATATTATAAGTGAATATATCTCAGGATCCTAAAGGCATGTCCAACAAGAATAACTGAAAATGGGTAGAGTAGAAAAGGAATGTTGTTCCTGTTTTCAGGAACACTGAGGTCAGAAAAGTATCAGTACATCAGATTAGCAGTTTAAATAAGGCATATGCATCATTTAGAAGGTTCTGAGCTTACACTGCATGGCATTGCTTCCCCTAAAGGCAGCACAAACTGACCAATTCTGCTGCACTGTTTCTATCACTTGTTCAGAAATAAATATAAGGACACTGATTTGTATTAAGGAACATGACATGCAAAGTCAAAGGAAAATGTGAACACACACTCTGTGTAAAGCACCAGGCTGTCTCCAAGGGAGTGTACGTATAACCACTTCTGGGAAACAGTCCACAGCACTGCCTTGTCCTGGAACAACACTTTCTCTTGAATCTGAACCGGGAGTGATCTTTGCAAGTTTACAGACAGACTGGCTTTCTCATACTTCACCTGAGCAGAAAAGTCAATGAGCTTTGGAAGCAGCACTTTGCCCCCTTCATCACTCTTCAGGAAATCCAGCAAACTGCCTGTTGATAGAGGAAGAATGAATTAGTGTATTTCAAACACAAAAGAAAACAAAACCAAATAAAAATCGAATGATCATTACCATTGGGGGGAACCCCACAAAATGACTGGCTTTTCAATTTCGTGTTGCTATAGTGCTTTTTCCTAAGCTTTATTGAACCTAGTCCCTTCTAATCTGTTACCTTTGACCTGATTTGAAATGCACATATGCTCCGGGTAAGAAAGGGTGACAATGTCTGACAGCAAGGCATTTCAGAGCACTTTGTACCTGCCACCAAGATACACTCGCTGTAGCCCTCGGGTGCCCAGAGCTTCTCTGAGGCAGAAACAGTGAGCCTTTGCAGCAGGCCTGCCCTTTGCAGCTACCCAGCCAGGCCGGCTCCCACCTGTGTCCAGCAAAAGCACAGAACTTGGCGCATGCCAAAGGTTTACAGTGAGTCTTTGATGAACAAACTGTGCTTGGAAAAAAGTTAGACCTACTTAAAAGGCCACGTGCCCACAGAAACACTCTCCTGCTTCCTAGGCCTTCATCTCTAAAGCAAGACCTGGCTTTTCCCCTAGAACTTAAACTGGCGACCTGAGGGCAAGCTACTTACCCTGTAAAGTGGGCGTGTCCTAGTAGCTACAGCAGAGTCCTTGTGAGGACGGACTAAAGAATGTGCCATGATACTTGGCAGGTATTGAGTGCTCAGCAAGTGTTCTGCTGCCTCATCCACAACACAAAACAGTGGTACTTAGCCCTCAGGTTGCAGAAAGGATTGAGTGAGATCACTCGGGGAAGGCACTGAGAGAAGTGCTACATAGAAAGTGCTCAATAAAGGTCAGGCATTATTATCAGGAGAAACTCGTATTTGCATTTATGACTAATACCATTGTAACTTGGTTAATTTAGCACTTACTGAACTCTTGTAAAGTGTATGATCCTGAGATTGGTTTCTGTGATGTAGCAAGCTGAGCCACAGGGGCTGTCTTTTTTTTTTTTAAGAATGTCCTTTTTGGGAAGGGCTCTGAGTCAGTAATATTTTGAAGTATTAACATATAAGAAAATGTAATAGTCAACTTTCTAACCTAGTCAGCTCTAATAACACACTGTAATCGTTATGCACAAGATGATGGTTAATTCTGGATTATTGCTTATGTTTCTTTTCTTCCTTCATTTCTGCTGATTTATGAAAAATCATTTGTCAGTTCATTAGTGTCTATACTGAATTGGAGGAAGGAGGATGGAGATTCAAACCCTTTTATCTGACAGTGAGAGCCACAAGGGAACCAGATGGTTTCTTGAATCTCTTTTTCATTTTCTATGATTACATAGGAATTCAATCTTGACAAGTGTTTAAAATGTTCACATTTTAAAGTGACACCCTGAACATTTAGATAAGGCTAAAGAGGAAAGCAAACTATTTTTAGGATTGTGAGAACTCATATTTTAAACATATAATAAAAATACTCTTATCTAATATATGTATTTACTTATCTGATAAATATTTATTGGAAGCCTAGTAGGTACTGGGTACTATTCTTGGGACTAATCTAAATATGGAAATGAAGGCAGGGAAAATAGGAAGATTATCTATTAATGTTATCTATTAACTTTATAACATGGATTGCTTATGTGGGTATGGTTTATGAAAATGCTTTGTTTTCCCATATTTTCTGATTTCTTCTGTTGGTGCACATGCTGTTTTACAATTAAAATTATTTGAGCGTTCTCTGAACATTTAGACACTTCACTCTCTGAGGGTTAAGCCCTCTGACCACCCCGGGCTGCGGGCCGCCTCACCTTTGGCCATATATTCTGTGATGATGTAGATGGGCTCCTCCCTGGTGACCACGGCGTACAGCCTCACCAGCTTGTCGTGCTGAAGCGTCTTCATGAGGTTCGCCTCCTCCAGGAAGGCCTGCACGGACATGGTGCCTGGCTTCAGGGTTTTTACAGCCACTTTGGTGCTGTTGTGATAGTAACCTAGGAAGACAGAAGGGGGGGCATGCTTTAGCAAACTGAAAATCCAAAGTCTTCATGCAGAATTCGAAGAAAACTTAGTTACAGACAGAAGCCACTTACATATTACTCTACGTGGTGTTAACATTAGTGCAGGCTGAGTGAAGTGCACATGGGAATTAATCTGTAACATCTTTACAAAATTATCTGCAATGATTCCACAGTCAAAAAGTTTTTATGAAGCAATAGTTTTTTAAAAATTCTAAGTGTACTCCATTAGGGGAACTAAGATTTTCCTCTAATTAATAAAATGTTCTTTATCCAAGATTTTTAAAAAACCACCCAAAGCTCTCTATTTTTATATACACGCATGTACACGCACATGCATGCATGCACACAGAAAATGGTCTAGAAGAAAATACACCAAAAACCGGCCATCCAATGGTGTGGTCGTGGGTGATTTTGATTTTGTTTACTTTAATTTTAACAATTCAGCCAATATTCTATGCCATGTATGTCTTACTCAGAAAAAAAAGCTTTGCACTAAAAAATTATTTATATACACTAACTTGAAAGTACAACATATTACAGTCAAGCGTTTCCCAAAGTTTTCAGAGAGAACTGGACTTTGGATATTCTCTGAGAACCAAGGGTTTTGTGCTGAATGTCTGGGGACCACGGCCTGCCGCACCCCTCCCCCACCCGGAAGACGCAGCAGAGGCATTGTGCGCCCTTCAGTGAAGACACTTGTCTGACTCTGCTAACCTCCGCATTTCCCACACCTTCTTGAACACCGAACACTTTTTCATGTACCTTTTCACACTCCAGGGAACACACTTCTGGAAATACTGGCTCCTTAATATGGTTCCCCCAAGGTATCACTTTTTTTTCTTTTTTAAAAAATTATTTTATTGTTGTTCAATTACCGTCGTCTGCATTTACCTCCCACCCCCCTCCCTCCCCGCCAACCATCCCCACCTCCCTTCCCTTGCTTCCAACCCACCCTTTGGTTTTGTCCATATGTCCTTTATAGTAGTTCCTGAAAACCCTTCTCCCCTTTCCCCATTATCCCTTCCCACCTCCCCTCTGGTTACTGTCGGATTGTTCTTAATTTCAGTGTCTCCAGTATCACTTTTCTGGGACCTGTCTCAGGTATGTGCTTAATTCTGAGCATGATTTTCCTCTGGAAAAGCCTTTTCTGTTTCCACATTTCTCTTGGAAATGCAAACAAAACCACCACCAACAACAACAAAATAAATGGTGAGGCGGCAGGGGCAGCTGGTTACCACCAGGAATCTCCCTGTAGGTCACCGCTCCCTGGGGTGTTAGAGCACCTGCCCTAAGACCAGCACAGCTCTAAGATGGTGATGTACAGCCTCGAGCCCCCTTTTTGAGGTCACGTAATTACCTGTATATGTACAGCAAAGAGTGATGGCTGGAGTCACGCTCAGTGAAACATCAACAGTGATAATCAGTGGTTACATTTTGGGTGGCTTTTACTTTCTTTTGTTTTTTTATATTTTGATTAAATGTGTAAATGAATACAGTAGTTCCCTCTCACCCATGCTTTGCCTTCTGCAGTTTTGGTTACCCACGGTCAACCATGGTCCAAAAAAGTTAAATGGAAAATTCTAGAAATAAACAATTCATAACCCTTAAAGTGCACATTGTTCTAGAAGCCTGATGAAGACTTGCACTATCCCCCTCGATTCCTTTGTTCAGCGTATCCACCTGTAGATGCTTCCTGCTCATTGGTCAAACAGTAACCAATCATCTTGGTTATCAGATGGACTGTTCTGGCATGGCAGGGCTTGTGTTCAAATAATCCTTATTTTACTTACTAGCCCCCAAACACAGGAGTAGTGGTGCTAGCAATTCAGATGTGCCACAGATGCAATGCAAAGCCCTTCCTTTCACTGAAAAGGTGTGATGTATAGGAAAAAACATAGTATATTCAGGGTTTGGTATTATCTTAGGTTTCTGGCATCCACTGAGGATGTTGGAATGTATCCTGTCTGGATAAGAGACACAGTAAGTGTGTGTCCCTTTATTTTTTACAAAAGAAATTACTTTTTATAAGAAAAGAGATTGTTTCTATTTCCACACCTTCAAATTGGCAAGAAAAAGTATTACTTTACAGCTGTCAACCCTAAATAATTTTTCTTCAAGTCCTTAACACTGATTTCTCTGTTAAAACTTTTCCTTTTATATTCCACTTTGACTTATACTTACTAGGAGTTTATAATGCTCTACAGAAAAATAAAGAATGTGGTATATAAAATAGAATAGATGTAAGAACACACAAATGAGACTGTAAGAGAAAGCTCATGAAATACTGTCCCAGGTTATTTTTGAAAGCCACAGCCTACACAAAACAGTGAAGTCATAAAAATATAAATTGACTTTCCACTTAAATGCATAATTACAAACACACTGAGGCAGGACAGTAAGTAGCTAGAAAAATTCCTTGGCAAGTAGAGTGGGTAAACTGAGAAAGATAGCAGAACAATTTGGATGAGCAATTTATAGCCAACACAGAAGGTCATCTCAGTACAGATAACATCTAGGCCTCAGATGTATTTTGCCTCCAAGCCTGCAAAAGTAGCATAACCAGGTAGGTGAAGCCAGGACCAGCTGCAGTGACTAATGACCCCCTGCTCTGACACTGACCAATTAGTGGAGACTATGACCCTAAAAGGGCACACCTGGAAAAGCTGATGTACATTCTATCAATTGATATCACTGCTAAGACCTCCCTTAAACTCCCAGCTTTTAAAAACCCTCAAAACAAAGGACCCAGCAAGCCTGTGCCTTTCCCTTCCTTCTCTTCTTCCCCGACGGGCACACATTTTCTAAACTCTAAGGGTCCCCACGAGACTTGCACCCAGGGGAGCAGGCTAACACCCTGAACCTGTCTCCAAGACCCCTCTTCTCTGACTTTTCAGTGAGCCAGAGAAGCCCTGCCTCCTGTTGCTGATTCTATCCTAGGAACTCTCCTAGTTCCTTGTCTCACTGCCCTCAACTTTACTAAACACACTGTCAAAATCATCTTGACTCTGTTGTGAAATCTTCCCTGCACGAAGCTAAGAACTGGCCCTAGGCAGACCTGCTCTGGGCTGGTCTCCTTTCTGATAGCCGTATGACCTTTCCTATGGCTCTTAAGAGTAAACTGAAAGTAAATTTCATCCAGAAAAGTCCTTTAATGTTACATTTAAACCAAGAATATTCCATTATAGAGTCATTTAAAAGTTTATAAATAGGTCCTCATACATGAATATATGTGTGGTAAAGCATAGCAAGAAAATACACTCTCTTTGATACATGTAACTGACAAAGGACTGGAAAGGACTAGTGTCCAGAATATATAAATAATTCCTACAAATCAGAAAGAAAAAATGAAAAGATAGGCAAAGTCTTGGATGAGCATTTCACAAAAAGAAAAAACCCAAATGACTAATAAACATGTGAAAGGAACTCCATCTTATCAGTAAACACAAAAATGCAAATAAAGCCATGGGGAGAAACCACCACACAACTGGGCAACAATTTGGAGTGCCCGCAGCTCCCCTAGGCCCTTTTTTTTGTGCTCCTTTTGAGCATCACTGAAATTCAGCTATAAAACTTCTGCCTTTAACAATATCCCCCAGGGGCCCCTGAAGAATATTGATAGAGCAACCTCCAAGTGCAATTAATCTGGGGCAAGCCCCACCCCTCCTGCCACACCCAGATGGTCCACAGGAGAGAGGCCCTGATACTTGGCTGGTGAGAGTCTAAACTGGGACAAGAGCTTGGGAAACTCAGTTGTCAGTACTTAACAAACTGGAAGATGCAGACTCCTGTGAACCAGGAAATCCACTCCTGGTCACCCCAGAGAAACTCATGCCCTCAAGCAGCAGCCTGGAAATGTTCACAGCAGCATTGCTCACTGTACCCCAAACCCGAGAACACCTCCATTCCATCAGTGAATAGTGAGCTCAAGGGACGAACAGCCGTATGTCTTGAATATAAATTCAAAACAATACTACATAGTAATGAGGATGAATGAATCGTAGCTCCACCCCAAAACATGAATGAATCTCACACACATAATGAGGCAAGATACAATAAAAGTACATTTGGTATAACTCATTTACACAAAGTTCAAAAACAGGCGAAACTAACCTCGGTTGTTTGGGGATGCAGAGGGTAAAGTGGCAGAACTCTAAAGAAAAGCCAGGTCAACTGTCACAAAGGTCAGAAGAGCAGCTGCCTGTGGGGCACGGGCGTGGCTGTGACTGCAAAGGCTGAGCAGGGACTTCTGGGTGCCAGCAAGTTCCCCCTGTGAGATCTCAGTGGTCAGCACACAGGGTTTCATTTTGTAATTATTCGTGATACTAAAAAGTTGTGTTGTGTGCACTTTTCTGCCTGCTTGTTAATTACACAACAATAAAAGTGAAAGAAACAAAATTCCTCTCCTTCAGTCATCATACAAGCAATGGAACTCATTGAGATTTTACACAACACAAAAAATCGTGGGTAAAGAATAAAGAAAAAATGCTTTCTGCTGGTAGGAAGGAAGGTTATCAGGACATACTGCAGCTGCTGAAGATATTTAAGACACTGATAAGGAGTTTGACGCAAACAGTGAATAGAACAGCTGTGTCAAACAGCCCGAGAACGGCAGTGATGCCACTTCATGTTAGTGCTGTGACGTTTAGACAGCAGGGTGGGTTTTCAGCGTGATTTGTATTCTGTGTGCAGGTTCTATTCGCCTAGTCATGGAGATTTGGGTTGGCATTAAAGATGAAAAATGATTTAAAAAGTCTTTTGAAAGCAGTAAAGATTTTCCTATGGAGTGCCTCTTTGTCACAGTTCAAGAACGCCGGCATGACAATCGGAGAAAGCTCACGTTGTGCGAGAGTGACTCGTGTGCTGAAAGGAACGTGCTGAAAAGCAACTTGGGAGGGTGGTTTTTAAAAAGATGTGGGCAGTCGACTTGGGAAGTTAGCTGGTGATTAATATCAATGCAGTTGGCTCACGTGAAA